CGGTGACTCCCCCGCCCGTGTCGCGCAGCTGGAGGGGCCCGTGGAGCGGCTGGGGGGGCTGCTGGCCGCCTGGTCGCAGAGCCTGGCCCCCATCGACAGCCGGCACACCGACGCTGAGGTCGTGGAAAGCTGGCACAAGGAAAAAGTAAGGTCACATCCCTTTTCCTAGCAGTTTTTCGATTGTAAATGGGCACTTACTATGGGCGGAAAACTTCTGCCAAGCAGTTCTAGGAAGCAGAAAATAATAAAACGTGTTTGTGAAGAATATTTCTATGAAATTGCAACTTCCCAAACTTTTTCTGTAACTGTAATTGTAGCAAGCAATGTTTACAGAAGGCGTTTCTCTCCTTGAAGGCCTCTGCTGTACAAGGCTTAGCAAACGCTGCCTGGATCTTAGATGTTAAAAACAGGGCTTGCCTCTGAGAAAGTGGAGGAGCTAGCACACCAGTTCTCCACTTCTATTCCAAGTTGCTCAGTGCTTCAAGCCAGAGCAGCACTTGATCAGGGAAATGTGAAGCATTTCCTAAAAGCTGAGCAGCAGCTGGAGCCACTTCTTACTTGTAATTTATCAGGAGTGTGTTGAGCTTATAGTTTCCATTTTTTGAAATATGCTTCACATTATGCACATTGAGGTCTTGTCCAATATTTAAAGAAGTTTGGTGGAAACCAGTGTACTCCTAATTGTTTTGCTATGGAATGCAGCAGAACTTAGAGAAATAGAGAGGTGGTTTCTGTTCCTGTTTGTCTTCTAGCAAAAAATTCCACATGTATGTATCTCACACACACCTATTGTATATAAATATACAATATTGTTTTCACAACAATCAAGATACATGTTTGTATGTATCGCAACTACTGTGAATCACAGATGCTGAGAAAGGATACAGAGTATTTCCCTTTCAGGGTAGTGTTGCAACAAAGCAGTTTCAGTAAAGGGGCAGAGGTGTATGATGCCTGCCTTCGGGCCCCTTGACTGAATGTTCAAAAAACCCCAGAACACTTTCTCCTTGAGCTGAGATTATAAATCTCCTCCTTCGATGTCTGTGCCAAGTTATTTCTGTGGCTTCCCCTTTCACAGAACTCCCTGAAAGAGATTTATGGAACCTTCTTGCTTGAGTGCCAGTACCTATCTGTAGGAATAACAAAGCTGACATTATATTGGCGCAAATAAGGGTACAAATACGCAAAGTATTCCGTACTTACATGTTTTTAAAAAGGAAAGAAAGACCTGAAATTGTCATCAACATACAGCAACAATTGCCAATTTTATTTTTTTTAATTTATAAATGGAGAAGTACTAAATTCAAAGGATATTGCTTTTGTTAGTAGTATTACTGTGGGTGTATTGTAGCTCTATGTAACACCACTATATTTAGATTAGGCAGTTGTAAACTTTGGCTAAAGAGGAAAATGCAGAGGAATCTCAGGACTTACTATGCACAGCCCTACCATGTAATTTTATTTATAGTTAGAGGAAATGTGACAGTAATCCTTCCATTTCTGGACCCCAGGGGCAGGTCCTATTGTGAATGTAAAATAGCACTGCAGCTTTCCATTTCCATTGTCTCACAGTGATTCTGTTGCCATGTAAGCCAAGGCCATGAATTAAAAATGCATTTCCTAATTCTCAGAATTAGCAAGCTCATTCAGTTATTCTGATATACTCAAGCTCTGTTCCTTTAGGTACATGCAACATAAGAAAAACAGATCTTGCACTTGGAATTCAGCAAATTGCTTTGGTAATTGTCAGATTCAAAATTCATTCCAAGTGGCTACAACATGGCTAGCAGTGTTTCTATATGGAAATATGCCATAGCTAAATGTACCCTGTTTTGCAAGTGGATGTGCCTGTTTGTCAATAGGTTATGCCAAAGGCTGTATGTCATTGGAATACTGTTTTAGTAGTTATTGAGGTAGGTTATCTGAAACTGAAAAATGTAATTGAACACAGGCAATTGTAACTGTGTGCTACTCTTAAGACATATTTTCTTTACCAAAAAAAAAGCCGTTAATATTTCATTATGGTGATTCCTGCCCTACACAATTTGTGACATCCTGTGTTTAAGTAATGGCCATTGTGTTGTTATTCCTAGGCTTTCAAAAAAAGTCCAGTGTGTAGTTTAACATAAAGTAAGATAAACAAAAAGTAGTTAGTTTACATTTTTTTTCTAAGCATCATTTCTATTACATAATTACTTCATTCAAATGCTACTTTATATGGCATCGAAACAAACTGGCAGTGTGACTATTTCAAGTATCTTTTAATTATGGTTGAACAGATTTCTGGTGTATGAGTGACTGAAAGCAGACAAAGTACATAATATGAGAACAAATATTTTAAATCAGAGCAGTCCTGAAAATCTGCCGAAGCAAATGTTTTTTTCATACTCACAAGAACACATGAACGCATGCTTGTAGTTTTATTTTTCTCAAAATAGATTGTTGTGGTTTTTCTTCCTGGCAGTTCATGTACTACAAAGAAGCAATATATTTATATTTTTTTTTTTATTTTTACTTGCTCAAAAAAGCATGGTATAGATCTTAAAAAAATTAATTTCACAGCTCTGCTGGCCTTTTCAGGAAAAGGCATATGAGAAGCAAGCACAAAGTTGCTTGTGGGCAGCAGACACATGAGCTGAATCCCTGGCTTTTGTCCATTTGCTGTTCTTACTAAGTCTGTTCGATTGGCTTGCTAGACCCTTGCTAAAATTTCTTTTTCCTTTTGATTTACATAAGGGGATATCTGTTTATTTCAGAGTTAGTTAATATTTTGCAGTGAAAAATCTACTCAGTGAGCATTTTTATCTCTGTAATGTAGATTGCGATATTTTTAAAACCCTCTGCATATATTTTCATGTACATCATTTGTACCATTCCTGAACATTCAGTTTAGTGCTAATAGTTTATTACAAACTGTTTATTATGTATATTTTCAATCATCCCTTTTTTCTGTATATTCAGAAACATGATTTGGTGGCTTCCTTGTCCCAATTCCCTGGCCCCGTTCAAATTTGTCTTGACTTTAATATCATCTGTTTCTTAAGTTTATATTATACATTTCTTGCAGATTGGCACTTAGATTTAGCCAAACTAATCTATACATACCAAACGCTCCAGCCTGCCTGCACTGCAGAATCACTGCCATGGTGAATGTAACTAGCTAGAAGGTTGTCTTTTCTCCCTGGTAGTTTAAGAGGAATGCCTGAAGAATTTTGTTGCTAGTGAGGCAAGGAGCCAAGCCTGCACTGCTCATTATGCTGGAGTAGCTGGCGGGATTCTGCAGTGGAGACGTTCTGGACGTCAACAAGGCCTGTTTTTCTTGGAGTAGTTATCACACCTCTCCCAATGACGTAAGCTAAACCAACAAAAGCTTTTTTTTTGTTGTTGGCTTAGCTGTCTCCAAAGCAAGAGTCTTTCCAGTGCAGCAATGACAGGCAGTAACCCATTTACTCTCACATGGTTGTGAGCAGCTGTACTTTATGAAACCCTCTGTGAAAGAGTTGAAGCTGTTAAAAGCTTTGTGCAGAAGTTCTTTTTCTGGATACAGCTCAAAACAGCTTTTATTGGACATGCTAAACTCAAGCCAACAGGCTTGAGTTTATATAAACATATTATTTTTATTTTATTAAACATATTATTTTATTTATATAAACATATTATTTGCTGTTCCCTAACTGTATGTACTTTTATATGTATACAGCTAACTGACAATACTGTAGCTCATTTATTAAAATGAAATTTATAACTTAAACTGTTCTTTGGGAACGGTTTGAGCTAAGAAAGTTGAGGCTTCCAGAAATTTGGTCTCTAGAAGCTCATAGCTTCAAATAAGCTTCTATAGGTTTGACTGCTGAAATACTCTTGAAAGTGAACATCCATGGGTCGTAAATTAAGTTGAATTTAAATTCTGATAAATGTTGATTCAAAAGATTTTTTTTTCTTTACTCACCAATATTGTTCATTTGTTTTAACAGGAAACATTGGATGCTCTGGTAAAGTCTGAACATATGACAGAAGAGATCAAAACTCAGTTAAATGATCTTTGTAGATTTTCCAAAGATTTGAGTACTCATTCTTCAAAAGTTTCAGGGTTGATTAAGGAGTATAACAGGTACACTTTCATCTTGTTTATAGCTAATCAATCCCGGAGGGGGTGGTAGGGTGATGGGTGGGGCATGAGCTGTCTTTTAGGGAAACATTAATTAGGATTTTAGAATTAGAAACAGAGGTATACAATTATTAAAATCCTTATTTTGATTTTGGTGTCAATAGAGGTTGTAAAAAGGAGCAATTTGGTTTTTTTCATCTAAAAGTCAGGCTATGCCACTAAACTCCTCTGAAACTAATGCATATCCAATTCCTGACCTATTGCAGGAGGAATCCTTGTAAGAAACTGTAAGGTTAAATTATGGCTTATTTGTCTGAAGGAGGAAGAAGCTATACCAGCTGGTTAAGACCTTTTTCTTAATGTTGTCCTTCAGTTTACTCTTCTTCGACTAGCCGGTTCCCTGAAACAGGGGAGTTGGCATTTGCTTGCTTGCTTTCTCTCAGGTCACTCTAGCTGATTTACTTGGGAGCCTGACACCTGCATTTCAGACACATGATTCTGCTGCCTCTTGCAGGGGGCTATGGCTTTCGGCTACAGTAGCTGCAGGAGAAGGGTGTGATGACCCAGACTGATCCCTTCTAACATTATGAACTTAACTGAGCCACCGAAGTTAAAACTGGAATCGCTGTAGTTCCACATCCTGTCCCTAGAGAGAGAAAGGGCCCTGCAGAAACTGCTCATGCTTAAAGGGTGTGATGACCCAGACTGATCCCTTCTAACATTATGAACTTAACTGAGCCACCGAAGTTAAAACTGGAATCGCTGTAGTTCCACATCCTGTCCCTAGAGAGAGAAAGGGCCCTGCAGAAACTGCTCATGCTTAGGTGCACTGAGTCACGCTCTGGAAACACCTATACCTCATATCCGTGACAGTTATGTCCCAAGTTTACATGCTTCACTTTTAAGGAACTGAAAACTTTTATTTCCTGGTTCCTCAGTTAAGTGCTTAAAGCTGGTAGGAGCAATCCAGGTTAACCTAACCTTACCATTGTATTTCAGAGAACTAAGTAATAACATTGTCACCTAACAGAGTCCTGCCTTTCCTCCCTCCCTCCCACCCTCTCTCCATCACTCTCTTCTGCTTCCCTGATGTGATAAACCCAGCCTCTGCCTGCAAGCTTCCAAAGGATGTCAAAGCAAAGAACAGATCTTGCAGCAAAGATTTCGGACGGCTTTCAGAGACTTCCAGCAGTGGCTGGTCAATGCAAAAGTCACCACAGCCAAATGCTTTGATGTGCCTCAGAATATCAGCGAAGCTTCAGCAAGTCTGCAGAAAATACAGGTAACTCTATAGCAATGAAGTACTAGTCTAAGGGACAACCGATTGGTTTCATATAAAGCTCAGATTGAATAGTTCGGTTAATTACTATTTTTTGTTAATGTTATTGTCAACACTAAAGGTGAATAATTACAAGGAAATAAAAACTTATTTTTTTCTTTTTAAATCTAGTTTGTTTAGTTTAATTGTTGGGCTACAGCTTGTATGTAGTCATTGTCTCTCATAGTAGTTTTCCTTGTTTGTTTCTTTTTTACAATAGGGAAAAAATGTTTTTAAAGTAGGATAGTACTGTAAAATCAGAACAATATCAGAATTGGGACTTAGTACTTGGAATTATTGCAAAGTTATGTAAATATTTCTCCTCATATATGAAAGTAGAGCCCTTATAGTGGAAGAACAGAGTTAAAATGTATGCAGTGTGAGCAAGCATTTTAAAAATATATTTTTCATATAAAGCTAAAACAAGCCCAAAAAGCTCTGTGGAAAGCAATGCAATTAAAATTTTACTTTCATAAAGCAAGAAATACTTTTATGAATATAACTATAATTGTAACTGAAAATAGCAAAATGAGAATTACATAATGAGACTGGTAAACCTTCCGTTAGATAGTATAACAGAAGAAATTCATGTCAGTTTCTCAGAAAATATCAAAACTCAAATCACTTCCTCCTTCTTTTGGTAAATTCACTTTCCCTAGCTTAAATGGTTTACTTAAAAGTGTAAACAATACTGTATTAATATATCAAATTGTTGACTACCCCAAAATGATAATATGTTTAAAGGAAACATCAGCAGAAAAAATCCTAGTAGTTTCTGACATTAAATGTAAGTTTTATGAAGGAGTTTTTTTCAACAGTGGTTAAGATTTTTTTCTTTATCACTGCAGCCCCTTCATAGCGTAACACTTTAGTTTGTTCTCCTCCTCCCTGAAAGCTGCTTTAGATGAAATAAACTTTTTTTGATATGCAGTAACTGCTTTAGGACTTCCAGAGATGTCTTGGTAACCTGCATAAGCTTAAAATTTTATTTTCATTAAAAGATAATGTTCTGTCTGTTAGCACATTTGACACGATTAAGTCACAAGGCAATTATATCTTTGATTTTAATACAGCCAGATCTTGAACCAAGTGTCTCAAGGCTAACAGACCCTTTGCATTCTCTACTAAGACCTCTAGCGTAACACAGAATCAGAACCTGTCTTAGAATTTTTGTGTCAAGCCTGTTACTTCTGAACGTGGATGTAACCTTATGATTATGGATATAAAAATGTTTGTGTATCACATAATCATGATAGTAACAGTTTAAAATATTGGTGTTTAAGACTGCTAAATTCCTTTGAGTCCTAAATGCTCAAAAATTCTTTTAGTAATTACAAGTTATAAGACCGTTATCCCAGTACATTGGAATTTTAAAATCTGGCTGTTTCCTTACATTTCTTGGTAATTCTGGCACATGCATTTTTCCATACACTTCTTGCATCGCATTGTGCAAGATTTCCACAAAGAATAATACTTTCAAACAGGGAAGGTAAATTAAGGATACAGAGGGATAAATAACACAGCTTAGACATTGCTCAGGGTCTAAGCACCAGCCCACACCCCTACACGCTCGTTGGAAGTCCAGTGTGCCTGTGGGCAAGGCTTCGGTCCTGCCTGGTGCCTCAGTGTGGTCCCTGGCTCCTGCTGTTACCTGTGCCAGGATATTGGTTCCCTGAAATGAAACTGTTACCACTTTCTGCACCACACAGATTTAAAGAAGTCAGCTAAATGACCGGTAATTGTCTCATGAAATGCAGAACATACAGGTAATCCTGGAGTCTTAATACACACATTATTTAGACACATGGCACTTCTGGACTAAATAGCTGTTGTCTCTAAATCCATAAATATGAACAATATTAAAATGGAATGTACCAAAAGATGAGTGAGCATCTTAACAAGCAGAAACAATAAACTCTTATCCCTGATAAATTTTCTGGGAGCTTGCCATTGATCTTTACTGGGACCCAAAGCTCACCAATTACCTTCTTGTATTACTATTTTTAGGAATTTGTATTGGAAAGTGAGAACGGGCAACAAAAACTAAACCTGGTAGCATCCAAAGGAGAGCTGCTGTGCTCTATTTTACCGAAGGAAAAGGCTAATGTTATCCGTGACAAATCTGCTACGGCTAAAGAAGATTGGAAAAATTTTATCACCACCCTCCACCAGAAGGAATCTGCATTGGAGGTATTGAACCAGTCACAGTGCAGAAAGACTGGATCTAAATTTCCTCTTTGCTTTTTGTTTCAAACAGCATAGTTTAGATTTCATAAATAGCTGTAAGTGTTTATCATGTGACAGAACTAATAAATAGCTGTTTTCAAGAAGTCTCATTCTTCCGCTTACGTTTTACTTTTGTTTCATATCCTTATGACTTGATCCCACTTTGGTTTCATGCAGAAGGGTGTCGTTCAGAGTAACTGAAGGTAGCAAAGACAGCAGTTGCTCAAATTCATTAACATGAGTCTCATCAAATATACTGGATTACTTAAACACAGTTTCTTTTTTAAGGACTGTTTTAGCAGAGATTTCTGACACTGTTGCTGGAGGATTAAATAGTCCCAGCACAGTGGGTAAATGTTGTCTCTCCTATTGCAAACCGGTGAAATGTAATGATTTATTTGAGCAACTTTTAAAATAAACACCAGTGCCTTTCTCTGTTCAGAACTCACAATTCAACCAGCACAGAAGGTGAATATCTTGAAAAAATCGCTTTTAAGGTCGTAGGTTTTAGGGTCAAAAGGTCTTAGCTGGAATTCCCTGCATAGCATAGGAGAATTAAAGTTCCCTAGGCATCCCTGTTTCAAACCAAGGCTGCCTAGTCAGCTGAGAAAACGTTTAGATACATTTAATATATCATGCAGGAAAGGCTTAAAAAAAAATTTGCATGTAGCAAAGACTAACCTTTCTTCATCTCAGGTTTGCCATGGAAAGAAGATGTCCTTAGAGGTTAATCTTTCTGAGCCAAGCATTTTTCAGTCTCATAGGCTTAGTTTTTCATTCTGATATTAAATTTAAGTGATAAGGCTATAGCTAAAAAAAAAAAGCTAAACCAGTCTTGGGGGGGGCGG